ACTTCTGCGAACACTTCAGATGCCCAACTCCTGTGAAGAGACGACCCAACTCCTGTGAAGAGACGACCCAACTCCTGCGAGAAGACGACCCAACTCCTGCGAAGACTTCAGATGCCCAACTCCTGTGAAGAGACGACCCAACTCCTGCGAAGAGACGACCCAACTCCTGTGAAGAGACGACCCAATTTCTGCGAGAAGACGACCCAACTTCTGCGAACACTTCAGATGCCCAACTCCTGTGAAGATTGCCAGCCTGTGAAGAGACGACCCAACTCCTGTGAAGAGACGACCCAACTCCTGCGAAGAGACGACCCAACTCCTGTGAAGAGACGACCCAACTTCTGCGAACACTTCAGATGCCCAACTCCTGTGAAGATTGCCAGCCTGTGAAGAGACGACCCAACTCATGCGAAGAGACGACCCAACTCCTGCGAAGAGACGACCCAACTCCTGTGAAGAGACGACCCAACTTCTGCGAACACTTCAGATGCCCAACTCCTGTGAAGAGACGACCCAACTCCTGTGAAGAGACGACCCAACTCCTGTGAAGAGACGACCCAACTCCTGCGAGAAGACGACCCAACTCCTGCGAAGACTTCAGATGCCCAACTCCTGTGAAGAGACGACCCAACTCCTGCGAAGAGACGACCCAACTCCTGTGAAGAGACGACCCAACTCCTGCGAGAAGACGACCCAACTCCTGCGAAGACTTCAGATGCCCAACTCCTGTGAAGAGACGACCCAACTCCTGCGAGAAGACGACCCAACTTCTGCGAACACTTCAGATGCCCAACTCCTGTGAAGATTGCCAGCCTGTGAAGAGACGACCCAACTCCTGTGAAGAGACGACCCAACTCCTGCGAAGAGACGACCCAACTCCTGTGAAGAGACGACCCAACTCCTGCGAAGAGACGACCCAACTCCTGCGAGAAGACGACCCAACTCCTGCGAAGACTTCAGATGCCCAACTCCTGTGAAGAGACGACCCAACTCCTGCGAAGAGACGACCCAACTCCTGTGAAGAGACGACCCAACTCCTGCGAAGACTTCAGATACTCAACTCCTGTGAAGATTGGCAGCCTGTGAAGAGACGACCCAACTCCTGCGAAGAGACGACCCAACTCCTGCGAGAAGACGACCCAACTCCTGCGAAGACTTCAGATGCCCAACTCCTGTGAAGAGACGACCCAACTCCTGCGAAGAGACGACCCAACTCCTGTGAAGAGACGACCCAACTCCTGCGAAGACTTCAGATACTCAACTCCTGTGAAGATTGCCAGCCTGTGAAGAGACGACCCATATTATTATTTGTTAACAAACAAGTTTTCATTACTTCAAAGAACTCATTGTTTCTGCATTAAATTATTACATTATTTAAATTAAAAACTTTTTAGCTTACTGTGATTTGGTGTATGCACATTTCTGAAATACATAACTTAGACTGTTACCTCTGATAACAGATCACTCTCAATTGTAATGTAGACTTGTGCATTTTGAAGGGATGTGTTGTGAAAAGCGTTTTACAAATAAATGTATATTGAATTGAATGTTTTGAAATGACAATAAAAATGGTAAAACTAGGCATTACTGTAAAATATCATCTTACTAAGACATTTTTTGAAATAATTAGATAACTATATAGTTACTATTATGGAGAGCACATAAAACGGCTGTTAAAACTGTTTCTCCATAAAACATTAAAAATTTTGTGAAATAGCAAAGCCTTTTATTATTTTATTTATTTTTATTATTATTTATATTGTTTTGGTTGTGTAGCCTGCATAGATAGATAGATAGATAGATAGATAGATAGATAGATAGATAGATAGATAGATAGATAGATAGATAGATAGATAGATAGATAGATAGATAGATAGATATTATTTTTAATTTCTAGTTTTCTTATTTCTCAGCTTTCTTTCAGTTTTCACTTTACTTATTACACTTTACAGAATATTTTTTGAAAAAAAGTCTTGAAAACACTTGAGGGGGACAGGGGTCTGTTTCTGCAGCTCGGGACGTGTGTCAGTGCGGTCCGTCATGTGTAGGGGTGCTGCTTCTACTGTTGGTGTCCTTCATTAAATATCTCTCTACAGGCTGAGACTCTCGCTTACGGCCATACCACCCTGAACACGCCCGATCTCATCCGATCTCGGAAGCTAAGCAGGGTCGGGCCTGGTTAGTACTTGGATGGGAGACCGCCTGGGAATGGCCCATGACTTAGAGGAGAGTGCGCCTAATACCGGCCCATGACCCCTCCAAGTCCTTGTTGCTTTGCTGGGGCCCATTGCCACACTCTTAGCTGCATCCGTACACTGCAGCTTGGCCTCTCCCTGCCTGTACAGACGGATGCATGGGTACAGGTGCTGTTTTTGGTGGCTGCTCAGCTGCTGTTTCAGTGAGAAGCTTTTCCCACACACTTCACACACATGTTCCTTCGGACCATGAAGCTGCATGTGCCGAGTCAGGTTGGACTTCACTGAGAAACTCCTGTCACATACACTGCACTTGTGTCCCGCCAAATCCATGCTTTTTATCTGTTGTTATAAAACAGAAACAGATTCAGATTAGTTTCTTCTTTCCAAACTGCACAGGGGACTAAACGCTGGAAGACCAGGAGATGCAAAACATGTGTACAAGTAACAGTACTGCTATTACTATTGCTTAGAAGTAAAAAGGTGTGAAATAATAATAAAAAAAGTACTGTAATCTTTATGGATGTTATCTGATTTACCTTTTAATGTGATATTTAATGTGATTAGCTGAAAGTTCAAAAGGTAATGGTTTTATCATTTTAGACTATATTTTTGCTTGCCTTGTGTTTTCAGTGTTTTAACATGTTATTGACTGTTAATGGCTTATCAGTTACTATGAGACAAAATAGTTTAGATTAGTGGAGAGGATAGCTGGACAAAACAGGCCTATTAAACTATTTAAATGTACAGTATGTAGTCAATTCCAACAGGACAAACTGGTGACCTATAGCGTTACTAGTCATAGGTAACATCTAACGTTACCTGTATTTGGATAGTAATCCTAATGCCCAGCCCTGGTTGTGTTTGGGTATTTTCAAAGCATTTACTTTTTTAGTAAAACATTACAAAGACTATACATAATTACTCCAGTTTACTATTCATGTTAGTATATGCGCGATTATATTTTCCCTATTAACGTTAATGCTTTTAAAACTTTGACAGTTAATAACTTTGTAATTACTGCACGTAAATCCATGCAGAAAAAGAACTGTTAGAAAGCATATGAATATAATGGAGAATATACGGAATTTACCTCTTGTTTGCTGTCACCGATCTCAGTCCACTGATGATAGTAGTGATTGTTTACTCTTGTCACTCCGATCAGTCAATGAGGCCATCTGATTGGTGGGTTGAGGAAGCAGCCTGCACAACGGCGCTCAATGATTGGTTGATTGAGCGACTCAACTTGCTCAACGGCGCTCAATGATTGGTTGATTGAGCGACTCAACTTGCTCAACGGCAGGCCTACCAGGTGCTGTAAGCTTTTGCTTCATCTTCACCACTCAGATCATTCACTTCAGAATTTTGCCTTTATCCTTTCAAATGCGATTTCTTTTCTTACATTTTGCTTTCTCTCTGGCTTTTGTCTGCTGTGAGTGCAGCAAAGGAAAAGCTCAGCCTCGTCATTCTTCCTTTCTCCTCCAGGAGGCGATCGAGTTTATTTCTTTCAATTAAATTCAGAAAGCTTTATTGGCATGACAAAAAAAAAAAAAAAAAACAACAACAACAACATTTTGTTATTAAGGGTATGACTGTAAAATAATTGACTATTTAAGATTTTTTTTAATCTTCCATTTTTTCCAAAAATGAGTGCAGTATATGATGCTATTCTGCCCTCTTGCGTTTGGATTTTACAAAGTAAAAAGGCTAACTAAAGTGAAAACTGAAAGATCATCTAAAATAAGAAAATTGTGATTTTCTGTTATATAATGTTAAAGTAATGACGTGTGTGCTTCATACTATATTAGAGATTGTTTTTACAACAGCACAGATTACAGGAATGTTAAAATGTTTTTTATCATTATTATTATTATGGTTATTATGGTGTGGTTTCTGCTCTCCATAATAGTAACTATTTAGTTTTCTAATTCTTTAGAAAAATAAATAAATAAATAAATAAATAAATAAATAAAATAAAACCGATGACTTAATATATGCTATTTTATTACAGTCCATTCAATATATTTTCTTCGTTTATTTAATTAACTATGTTTTAATTATTTATATGCAGTTCAATATATTAATATTGAACTTGTCATTTAAACTATACATTAAAACAAATTAAGTAACCTGCGTACATTCCAAACAATGTCATCATGGACACACTGAGCTGCAGTCCAGTTAATATACAAAGAACAAGAAGTGATACTTCAAAAGCTATTGTGTATTTTTTTCGTTGCAATAACATTATAGGCTATATGTTTTTTGTAAATGAGAAAAGTCTGAAAAATAAGGCACAACATTATTAACATTTATAAACTTATTTTTTTCTGTGGTTTTGAAAGAATTAGAAAAGTATAGTTACTATGGAGAGCACATAAAAAAGCTGTAAAAATTTTTTTTTCTGTGAAATAGCAAAGCCTTTTATTATTTTATAGCAAAATGTGCGTTCATACGATGGATGCGCATTTTAGTTGCCATGGCAACGCGTGTTATGAAATCTCACTACATATTTTGACTCGAATTCCGATCGCTTTCTGTTGATTGAGAGACGAGGCGAATATACAGACTTTTCCAGAGTATTTTCTGCGAGATTTTGAAGCTGTTTCCTGAAAGAAGACTTTATTCTACAACGACATCATCGGAGGATATATCCTTTATCGAGTTTTTAAGCTTTTTTAAAGATTTCATATAATTTCTGATTATATCTTCCTTTATTTTATTGTTCTTTTCTGATTTAGAATAGTTTTATTTACTTTTTAATTCTTTTTTTTTATTTATTTTTTTTAGTTTTACAGGAGTATTTCTGAGTATTGTTTTGTATTGTATTTTGTAGGCTAACTTATTGTTTTTTTCCCTTGCAGTGATCATGGTTCACCGGATAGGTGGAAGAGGAGGTGAGGGCTTTAGTTTTTTGGTTTATGGTATGTTATGGTGATGTTGTACAATGATTTAATACGGTAATATGTGATGGAAATTGTGCGAGGTGATTCCCCAGCAAAGTGATCACATATCGCATTGGATTCCTTGCAGATGAAATCAACATTTCAAGAATTGTAACAATTTGTAATTGACCACTGACATTGATGAAGGATTATTATTAAAACATTACTAACTATGTGATGTGTGAAATATATTCCACCCTCAGGCCGCTCCAGACCCCGGAGAACTGCTTTCTCTCAGACGGCTGGTCAGGAGGTTTGCAGACCCGCTTCTGATGACCGTGGTGAGGATCCGCTGCCAGACCCGACACAGATCCAGGAGCTTTCTGGAGATTTAACACCTCAGTCTTCTGAGTTTTCTGTTTCTGTGTCCACAGGTCAGGCTCACGGGAAGAAAGCGGGGCAGAGCGGCAGCCAGAAGAGGCCAGATGATGGACGTCCGTCGTCCACTGCATCTAAACGCTCTGGCAGAGGTCAGAATATGCTTTAATGAAGATGTTATGGCTCAGTCTCCATCTCTGACTGATTTGAAAAATAATAAAGTAAAAATTTGATGTGATGACTGCCATTGATTATTCAAATAGTTTAAAATTGCACATTTGTGTAACATTTTCAGAACATTCAGAGACCATTCAAAATTAACATTCCCATAATGCAAATTATTTTCTATTTCTGTTTCTAATAGTTTTCATTTGTTTTTCTTCCTTTCAGAAAAACCTAGAGAATGCAGGGAGAGGAAAGGAATTGGTTGTTTCCTCAACAGGGTGTGGAAGGCTACGAAGAGGTATTTCCACTGCTGTTGCCTCAGTTGTGCTGTGGATGATGTGGAGCCCTTTGTCCCTCCACCAGATCTGGAGCCAAAGCCTGTTCCTGAGCCTTCATCCCCTGCACCAGATCACTCCGGCGTCAAGCCCAATCATGGTAAATATCGGCATTATTTCTCCAACATGATGATAATGAAAATAATGAGAGGAAATTAAACATCTGAAATTTTGCAAACTCAGGTCGCTCCAGATCCTTGAGAACGGCTTCCACAGATTCGTCTGTGGGAATCACGTCATCATCATCTTTGTCCCTCTCTAAGGACATTGTAGAGAGGAGGTTCTGTGGAGAGTGGTTAAGCCTTAGCAGCCGAGGCTCGTACGTCGTTGAATGGCGGTGGAGTGGTTTTTTGGATAGCCGAAGCCAACAGAGCAGCAAGTGCTCTTTGTCCGGGTCCGAAAGCCTCGAAGGGTTTCTGTACCCTCCACTGCCAGGTCAAATTCCTGTCGAGCCGACAGAGACAGAGACGAATGGCCGAACTGCTCAGGGTGCCATGGAGGATTCTCCAGTGAAGAAGAGCTCCACAGGTGAGACTGAAATAAGGCTGGTCAGTGTAAAATCTTCAGATTTTGTCGTTTTTAACGTTAACGTCCGCTCACATTTACTATTGCTCTGCAAAATTTCACTGACAGATTTTTTTTTTTTTAAGAAATATTTTAATTGAATGTTCACGTAGGACAACATTTAAAGTAACATTCTCATATGTAAAATGATAAAATACAGAATGTTTCTTTAAAGAAGAAAAATTTGTGAAATACGTTGCGTTTAGGGAACATTTAGAAATAACGCTTTCTTAATTAATGGGAACGTTAGCAAATCATTCTCAATAAGGCATGAACTCGATGGTACTTGCGCTGTCTGACACACACCTGAAACACACACACAGAAAGCCGCTTCTCAGACAGCATATGATCAAACAGCAATTCTGATTTGCGACTTGAATTGTCAAATAACCTCAAAATTGTCAAAAAGTCGGTTAGACATTGCTGTGCATTTAATAAAATCAATGTTTATTTCAATATGTTATATTTAATATATTTTAAGATGAGGCCCATATGATCTTTGCCATTATCAGAACTGAGCCACATGTGCCAGAGTCGGCCAAGTGAAGCCTGGAAATGGATGTTTTTTAAACAGTATTTTCATCAAGAAAAATAACACTAAAGTCTTGTTTCCCGTTTCCCATTATTTTCTCGACACAACCAGCGCTGATATTTAAAACAACGGATCTAGCAAGCTGATATTTTTCTGTTTGTTTTACAGAGTCCTTTGAGTGTCTCTATAACATGGGACAGATGATTGGATCTGGAGGATTTGGCAGAGTGTTCAATGCAACACGCAGATTTGATGGCAAAAAGGTAAATCTTACCGAATTGTACAAACATTTTGCTCTTGCATGCATCAAAACATATTTACAACAATTTACAGATGGTTTAATACTTAGTGCAATGTCAGGTTCTTACATGTTTTGTTTTTTTGCAGGTTGCCATCAAGCGGATGCGTAAGGTTGACAATGATCGCTATCTGAATATTGTAAGTTGGCTAAAACCTGAATATGTGTTTAGTTGTTTATGTGCAGATTACTGTAGTTAATACACCCGTAGAAAGCATTAGTGAAAAGGCTCTTTTGAACGGATCTAAAAAGATTTTAAAATGATGTTTTCTCCAGATTTTTACGCAGTTAACCTTCTGTCTGCTACTTTTCTCTAGCCTGGGCATCCCGAACCTCTCGTTACAGAAGTGGCGCTGCTGCTAATGATGAGGCGAGAACCCATTAGCCCCTTCGTCATCCAACTGTACGACTGGTTTGAAGATCCTAAAACATTCACTCTGGTTATGGAGTATCCTGATCCCTGTGAGAGCTTGCTGGACTTCATCACTCGTAATCCTCGAGTGTATGAACCAGCAGCACGGGTCATCATGCAGCAGGCTGTGCTGGCAGTGCAACACTGCATCGAGCATGGTGTTTTCCATAATGACATCCATGCAGAGAATTTCCTGATAAAGAAACACTCCTTAGGCCTGAAGCTGATAGACTTTGGATGTGGTCAGCTGTTCAGTAGTGACGGCTACGAGAGCAAAATATACATCGGTGAGCATTTTAGGAGCGTGAATGTAGTGACTTACTAATTATTTGATGCTTTAAAGAAAAAAAAGCTCAACAATGTGCAAATGTCTTGCTTACAGGAATACAGGACCACTGCCCACCTGAAGTCTTGGCAGAACCTCGGTTCCACGCCGTCCCAGCAAACGTCTGGTCTCTAGGAGTGTTGCTGTACAAGATGACGAACGCATGCCGTCCATTTTGTAACAGAGCGGAAATCTCACAAGCCAAATTCACATTTCAGAACTCCAACTTATCCAAAGGTGAGTGAGTAATATCGATAACATTGATAAACACACACATAAAGCAAAGGCTTTGACCAGAAACAGTTAAAGGTGAAGTATGTAATATTTTGTATATACAGCTCAACGTATAGCGAGAGTTTTGGGTGTGGAAACTGTAGCCCTGGGAAAAGAAATGCAGCTTTAGTTACAGAAGTGAAAGCCAAAATTCACGACATTTTCAAAGATTAAACAGGTCATGACCATGTCAAAGTGAACAGAGCATTGTGATGCTACGCGCTACAAAGAACGCTTCAATACCGTACAGCATCATCATGCACCCGTTCAGAAATGCACATTTGCAACAGCTAAAGCTGCCCCTAATATGTTGGACCTGAAACATACTTTACAAGAACCAGTAAGAGCTGTGTTTGTGATGTTTAAGTTGGGGAAGAGGCGATGCTCGGAAGGGGCCTTTGCAAGGTTTTTTGAAAATATGCTTTATTTTGTCATTTATTCTGCTCAGTGCCACTAGTGTTGCAGAAACTACATACTTCACTTTTAAAGGATTAAAGATTAGACACTTTTTACAGTGTGTTTTACAATCATTTTTTAAATGCTGTTTCGTAGATGCCAACTAACCAGCTCTCTCCTTATTCAAATGTGTACAGAGTGCAGGGATCTGATTAGCCAGTGTCTAGCCCGGGATCCAACTAAACGCCCGACGTTAGAGCAGATGTTACAGCATAAATGGATGCCCAATGATCTACTGTAGATTGAAGAAGTTCAGCAGATTCACTCGATCAGTTTCAGGTGTGAGGAAGTGTAACAGAGGAGGATTATGATCTTTTCTTTTAAAATCGAGATTATTTGTAGTGAGATTTTCACATTTGTGTTTATTGTAATGTTCTTGTTATAGTCTAGTCAAGTCACCTACATTTATGTAGCACTATATACAATAGAGATTGTTTCAAAGCAGCTTCATGGTAATAAACAGGAAAATAACAGAATCAGGGATGCAAACAGAATTCAGTTCTGCTGTAAAAATCATTCATGAGTTTGAGTTGTTCATATCATTTTTCTATTGAATAGGAAATGACATACTTGCTGTCCTTGGTGGAAGACTTGAGCTCGAGACTCGACCGAAGACTGAAGTCCAACCGCAACCTGACAGAAACTCAGAGCCTGTCCACGTCTGAGCGAGAACACGAGACACGGCAAGACTGGAAGTCATCAAGTCATCACACACACATTTGCTTTGTTTTAAAAAGTCAATTTTGTTTTGATTTTAAAAGTCAAGGCTAGACAAGTAATCTTGATTTATTAGGGGTGTAATATTTAAAACATTTAAGATTTTGTAAAATTATTTTATTATTTTATTTATTTGTATTGTTATTTAGATTTCCTTTTTTTCCTTTGGTAAGTATGTATTCAACAGCCCTGTAGTATCAATATATATATATATATACAGTATTTCTACTACAGGGCTGTTGAATGCTTGATTCTGATTAGTTGAGAACGTTCTAAGGGCTGAGTACCTCAGCAAATAAATAGAAAACAACAGAAATAATCCAAGGTTTTTATTTCACACCGTGGCTAGACTAACAAATAAACAGAAGACACCTGAACAAAATATCCCGTTACAGTTTAGCAGTAATGATTTCATGAACTTCTTCACAGAGAAAATTGAAAGCAACAGAATCACAATCGTAATCTCTCAATCTTTGCTCGCGCCTTATAATTCAGCCGCAATTATCACCCCGCAAGAACAATAATAATGCTTTACAACCATTAGAACAAAAAGAGTTAAATAAACTTATCACTTCATCTAAAACAACAACATGTTTATTAGATCCTGTACCAACTATTGAAAGAAGTATTACCTATAGTGGAAGAGCCTCTTCTTAATATTATTAACTCGTCTTTATCTTTAGGTCATGTTCCAAGAACGTTCAAGCTGGCAGTTATAAAACCTCTTATTAAGAAACCGCAAATAACCGAGCAAATTACAGACCCATCTCAAATCTTCCATTTATGTCAAAAATATTAGAAAAAGTTGTGTCCGCTCAACTCGGCTCTTTCTTGCAAGAAAACGAAATTTGGCCTCTAGTTCATAAACGCCAGAGGAGAACTGGCCCCCGACTGAGCCTGGGTTCTCCCAAGGTTTTTTTTTCTCCATCGGGTCATCTGATGGAGTTTTAGGACACCATCGGGTCACTTGATGGAGTTTTTCGGTTCCTTGCCACTGTTGCCTTTGGCTTGCTCAGTTGGGGATATTCAAATTAAATTACCAATATATATAAATATATATATATACATAAACATATTTGCTATATAAATAGGTATATAAATAGACTTGACTTGACATACAGTTTAATTTGAATAAATAAAGTATGTAGTCCAATAATAGGCTAAATAGAAAATTAAACTGAATAGGCTATATAAATAAACTGATAGTCCTGCTGCACAGATTTTCTTAATTATTCCAGATAATATAACAAATACATATTTTTTTAAGGCCTAAAAGACTTTTGTGTGTTTAATTTATTGGGTTATCTCCTGTCAATTATAGAAAACAAGAACGAACGAGTTATTTAAAACGAATTTAATTAATAAATAAATAATAATATTGACGTACATGCTTGTCTGTCTCATTATTTCAACATCTCTCTCTCTCTCTCTCTCTCTCTCTCTCTCTCTCTCTGTCTCTCTCTCATAACTGCATTAATAACTGCATAAAGTCAGGACACACTAGTTATCTGTTGCATTGGTGATTTTAGTGGGGGAGGTGAGACGACTGGCTGGTGGCCGGTTTTTCAGCATTGAAGGAATACAAATTTATTATATGTTTCATAAAGGTTTAACAGTATTTTTAACTGAAAAATGGATACAGTGTTTACCATTTTTGAGCCCAAGAAGATTAAGCCAAGCATTCCAGGTGTCACACATTAGCTTTTGTCTTTATGCACTTCCTGGCCATTTAGTTCAAGATACAGCTCTGCTTTTGTCTCTATGATAATGGTAAAGGTTTAACCACTCTAGTCAGACTGATTGGATGAGCATCTCAAGGCTCCCAATAACTGGTGTGCTGATGAACTCGGGTAACTAGCTGAATCATTTACATTTGCTTTACATACAAAAGTTTTATGTTCATAGAGGCAGGGATCCGTCAGACTGGGATGTTCACTTACAAAAGGAACTAGACAGGTTAAAAAGCCCATAAAGCACACACACAGAAAATTATAAAGACTTGACTTGACAGAAACAGTCGATTGTTTGGGCATGCCTGACCTCTAGTGGCGAGGAGCTTGATGCACTACAGACACAGATGCTGGAAATCATTTTCATTTCATTTAATCAATAGCCACTTTCCATCAATGTAACATGCTTGCTTAGATTGTGCAGGGGAGTGATTCCTACACCACGCTGAAATAAATACTAATAACCAATCTTTATTATGGCTCCGGACTCATCCATGAAGCCCGAAAGGTTGTTGACAGTCACTGAGTGATCGAGTTGACCAATGAAATCGGCGATGGGTCAGGATGGTTTTCTGGTTCACTTTAGATGAATCGCCCATTTCATTGTCAAGTGTTTTAAAATTACATTTGCATTAACCAGCAATCAGTTACCTGGTAAAAGGTCAATTAGCCTTTTAGTAAATTACCCTATTTTAACTCACAATGAATCTATTTGATTGGCTTTTGTATCTGGTTTGCATAACAATTAAATCAGTTTAATGGCACAAAAGGAAATAAATGCCCAAACGTTCTCAGATAATGATCACATGACTGCAGTCCGGAAACCAGGGCTTCACCCTGTAGCCCAAGAATCCGACCAGGGATGAGCCTGGCCCGTGCCTGGATGGGAGACTCCTGGGGAATACAGGTTGGTAGAGGTGTTAGTGAGGCCAGCAGGGGGCGCTCACCCTGTGGTCTGTGTGGGTCCTAACGCCCCAGCATAGTGACAGGGACCCTATACTGTCAAAGAGCATGTTAAACCGAGGGCCTGACTCTCTGTGGTCATTAAAAATCCCAGGATGTCCTTCGTAAAAGAGTAGGGGTTTAACCCCGGCATCCTGGCCAAATTTGCCCAGTGGCCCCCATCCATCATGGCGTCCTATAATCCCCATATACTGTCTCTCCTCCACCTAAGCTGGTGTGTGGTGGGCGTTCTCTGCTGCCGCATCATCATCCAGGTGGAGCTGAACACTGGTGTTGTTTGAGGAGATCCACTACTTCCATATGTGAAGCCAATTATTAATGAATTATTATTATTCTCAACTCTAGCCCTCGACTTTCGCTCAAACTCACTGATGTCCTTGTAGTAATCCTGAAGAGCTTGATGAGCTTCAGGTTGACTTTAATGGTCATCTGTTAGACGGCAGCATAAGTCAAAGGCAGGGTGACTTATGGGCATTTAGGACGTCCAACCAAGGAGGCAAGGGTTGGCTGGTTAGCAAATTGCATGTCTTTAGCCAATCCGAGACGTCATGACGTCGCTCATTAGCAGCTTCAGATTGATGTCACCCGGGTGTTTGGCTGAAACCAAATGTTCTGTCCCCTGAGCAAAGACTTTCCGATTGTACGGCCAGTCGTTGAGATGAATGGAAATGCTAATAGACCTGCTTGTGTAAAACACTCCTGTTGTGCTCCATAAAGTGAGGACCTGTGCTTCACCTCACATGAAGAAGATGAAGCAGATATCTGTGGTGACATCGGCGTCAACCTCACATTACAGGTCACAACAGTACCCAGACACGAGCAGCAGATCCTTCACGTCCTGTTTGGATGTGGATCGAACACGTTGACTGAGCATCTAATTGAGATCTGGGGGATTTGGAGGCAAGAACAACACCTTGAACTCTTCATCATGTTCCTCAAACCATTCCTGAACAGTGTGTGAGGGTGATTATTCTGCAGAAAGAGACTCTTCCACCAGTGTCATGAAGGGTGTGCCTGCTCTGTGTCAAATTGATGTCCACATGTTTTGGTTCATCAGGGAATGCAACTAATATAATATCAAATAACCACAGTTCAAATTATAATAAAGTACTGTCATAAACAACACATGAATATAAATCTACTTCTTCAGGCATGACAGAAGATTATTAAAGTCCCCCTGTGGTGAAAACCCAGCTTATAGAGTTGCTTATATGTCTATGTGGTGTTTTTAAAATGCTTTACGACACACCATGTGCAAATTCATAAGTTGACTGCATTGCGTAGTATTTTCTCTTTAAAACTGCAGTGAACCAAAGACATGGACCCCGTTTACACCTGGTATTAAAATGCGATCTGTATCCAGATAAGTTATCCGGATAATAAGTACTGATTCCGTTTACACCTGGCCACATAAATGTGTTTTTGCAAAACGGATATAAATCCGATCTTCACCTCCTGCGTTATATGCAGATTTATTGGATTGCACGCCACCAAAAGCAACAGATCTGAGCGGCATTTTATTGATCATCAGCTAATTTCCAAATCAGAGACATCAATAAGAGAGAGTGGCAACAGGCCTGGTAAGATAATTTCGTTTCTTTACTTGAAGATGTGTTAACTGCGTCTGTGACTTACTTTCACTTTTATTTGCGATGTTTGCACGTTCAATAGACGCTCAGCTGCTCATCTGCGGTGATGCGTGTCGCGTGTCGCATCTGACTAGGCTATAACATGACATATAGCCTATATAACACGCTCTCACTCGTTTATTTTTTAGCATTTTTGGGAGGAGTAAAATATACATATGTGGTTTCAACAACCAGATTGCGTTTACACCTAGTAAAGATCCGGACACAATGCGAGCCAGACTACCTCCAGATGTGGTCAGATCCGATCACGATCCGATCACAACGCGTTTACACCTTGCATTAACATGCGTTTTTTATTATCCGGATAACTTATCTGGATACAGATCGCATTTTAATACCAGGTGTAAACGGGGTCATGTAGTCCAGACTGATCTCATGAAGTAGCGTGTGTATGCCACGCCAATTCGTATTTCCATTTTTGCCGTGCTATCAAGGCGCGTAATCGCCTTTCAGCGTGTTTATGAACGCCGTTGACTTAACGTTATATAAATATATGACTTACCTCAACCCCGTCCCTAAACCTAACCGTCACTGGGGTTAATGGCATTTATGACTGTTCCCTTACCATCCTAGGAAAGAAAAAGATATGACTTACCTCAACCCCATCCCTAAACTTAACCGTCACTGGGGTTAATGGCATTTATGACTGGAGATTTGACTGCGTGTACAGACACACGGAATGACGTGGACGTTAATGGCGTAGACATACACGCGGATACACGCGGATAGCTAAAAATGCGTAGAGATAACACGCCATCTGACTCGAAAGTGGCGTGTATGTTTAAGCAAAAGTCATGATGTCATGTTGTGTAGTCTCAAAAACACGATGTGAAATCTCTGGTGTTTCTGAAGCCACAAACGACCTTGTAACCAATCAGATCAACGTGTGTTCCAGCCCATTCTCACCCCCAAGGCGTCACTTAACTGACGTCTTGGGAAGCATTTGGACATGCTTCAATATCTGACGCTTTAGGCGCCCTTTAGCGTCAGTTAGATGACGCCCTAGGATCGCGTGTACCCTACCCCCACCCCACACCTAAACCTAACCGCGTCCTCTAACTGAAGCTTTCCTTTAGCGTCAGTTAGATGACGCCGAAGGATCTTACATGACGCTAAAGGGCGCCTAAAACGTCAAATATTGAAGCATGGTCAAAGGTGACGCCTTGGGGTGAGAATGCGTTGTGTGTTCATAAACCAGTGGATCTCTGAGTGAGTGAGTGGAGGTGGGACTCATTTGCATATTCATAGACCCGAATATACTAAATGAGGCAAGGGTGTCGAGTTACATTCTAGCCATTTTAAGGCACAAAGGAATCTTTTTTCAAGGAAAAAAAACGTTTAAATGTGTAATTTTGGTGAGCAAAGATTAGCTTTGAGGGGTTCAATTATTGGGGGACTTTAAAACATGATTTAAAATGTACTTTAAAGCAAAACTTTTAAGTTGCAATCACAAAGTGCACTAAAGTGTGTTAAAAAACAGCAATGCGGTGCACTTGAGTGGCTTTTTATTTCATTATCTGCAAGTATAGTTGTTTTTTAAATGTGATTTCTGGTTTGAGGTTCTGCAAGCACACATTCAGCGCAATCAGACACACTCTTTTTCACTAGAGTTTCCCATGCAGTAACACACACTTACTGCAACAGATGACAGAGTTTAACACAAAGTTCAGTGTCTCATGAGACTGGAACACCAACATTATGATTGAAGTCATTTAAAACAACAAAAAAAGCTTGATTTTTATCACTTGCATCTGCAGGCCGTGTTGCATCTTGACGTGAGTCGGTTCTGATTTGGAAGAAGTTTATGTTTTGAGTTTGAGGAAATGTAGAAACTCTTTGGATCAAGTCTTTCTTTTACATAATGCATCTAATCTGTCTGTAAATATCACACTTCATATTAGCATTGTCATTGTTGCAGAACCTATTGTTTCATAAGTCAGTGTTTTATCCAACATCTGTGGTTATTTTCACACAGACACATGGTGAGCGTCACCCAGCGGCCGGTTCATCCGAGGACATGGGTTTGTTTGCTTTAGAGCCGGTCATGTTTTGATTGAGCCGGAGTCCAGAGTCTCAGCAGACAGGTCATCAAGGTAGACGAGGGTTGTTAAGTTAAATTCCTGACAGCAGGAGCGTTTCACCATATGTTTGAGCTTTAGTTCTGGCGGGGGTCTGGTACCTTATCTGGTCCATGCTGAGTGAGGCAGGGGATCTGAAGACGGCCCGTCCCCCGTCCCCAACAGCAGAAGCCTTCACGCCTCCATTTAACCAGAACGGCCTTTCAAAGGGACGGAAAACAGGTAAACTCTGAGTGAAATGCTGCACATTTAAAATATTGTTTTTTATTAACTAAATTGTGATTTGAAAAGAAAAATCTACAAGTTTAAATGAATTTTATTGTAAAATACGGTAAAAATGCTTTTTGTATTTGCATAAGTATAATTTATATACACTACCGTTCAATAAGCGCATTAAACTGATTACAATAATGACATTTATAATGTTACAAAATATTTTTTTGAAAAAAATGCTGTTCTTTTGAACTTTCTATTCATTTCACAGTTCCCACACAAAATATGAACTGTTTTCAACGTTGATAACAATCAGAAATGTTTATTAAGCAGCAGATCAGCATGATATGTGACTTTTAAAGAATGTTATTTTAAATTGTAATAATATTTCAAAATATTAGTGTATTTTGACCAAATAAATGCTAAGAGAAAATATGTATATTTATAAAATATTTTTTGAACAGTAAAATATTGTAAATATTATACGTAGTAAAATGTTCAAATATTAAAAATGTGCATATGTCCTGGGTTTGTGTTTTGTGTAATAGGTAAAATAAGATAAAAAATGTTTTCACCAAACACAATTTTAATTTATAAATTATTTTTACTGCTTCCCGTCTTTTATCTATAAAATAATTGATATAATTCAATTCAATATTTATCTTGCTTATTTTGTGTGAATCAAAGCTTTTCAAGACATATTTCGATCATAGATGTGTTAAAACATACACACACACACACTCTCATGTTGTAAGTAAATTCAACACAGTCTCATGAAGATGGGTATGGTCTTGATGAAGTCATAAGACTCAGTGCTGTGAGTGAGTGTGTGTGTGAGTAAGTGAGTGTCTGTCTCCCCCTGAGCAACACAAGGAAAACATCTGTTCTCGACGGAGGACATTTCTGTGCTTTATACGCTCACTGTGTCCAGGTCAAGAGATCACGACACCCGGTCACTAAACACAACCTGTGGCTGTTTTATAATGTGCACTGACAAGCATAAAATGCAGCAAATAATGTGAACGCCAATTCAACACTAAAACCTTTTGTATGGGTGAGATGTGTTGAACTTTTTAGATGTTTTGAGTCAGAAAACAGTCAATAGTTGTGTCCCAAATGATGCCCTGCACACTATGCACTGTGTACTCAACCGTGTATGCATCTATCTATCTATCTATCTATCTATCTATCTATCTATCTATCTATCTATCTATCTATCTATCTATCTATCTATCTATCTATCTATCTATCTATCTATCTATCTATCTATCTATGGTCTTTGTCTTATCAAAGACCTGCCATTAAAAAAAAAATCAATTTATATTATTATCAATTTATACTATCAATTTTGTATTCTATTTATAATAGGCTATCAATGGCTTAAAATGTAATATCAATTAGGCCTATATTTTAACAAGACTTCGCCTACAGGCGACATGTAGTATGTAAGAGTTTAAATTGTTACAGTTTTTTTTATTCGCTTTGGTACTATTTTCACAAGTAAGGTGTACATTTTCAAAACTCTTAGTACAAAAATCCAAACTGATCACACTTGTAACGCAGCTAGTCATTCTTTCAAAACCTGATGTAATGCTTTCAGTCAGTTGCACATGTTTTCAGTCCACATAATAATTATTTCAAACACAAGATTATTGTAATATGTAATGAGAACATTTGGTTTAATCACTGAAACACAACAATATGATCTTATTTCAGTTTAGTACTTTTAACAATCAGTTCATCCAACAGCAAACAATGCAAGATACATGTTTCAAATCGGCCTTAGAAGTGCTGAAATGAATATGCTACAGTACTATAAAAGACAGATTACACTGTAACATTAGGCAATACACTTACAGTACCCAACATTTACATAATCTATAATTTCCAAATATCCATCATATATGTAGGCCTAATCAAATGAAGGATCAATGAAGACATCCTTTACAATCATTTAGGCAAATTATAGTTTTTATTTTTCAGATATAATTGTAATATAGGTATACTTTCTATAATGAAATGTAACTAGAAGAACAAAACATAACATTTAGTGCACACATTACAGTACATAGTGGCCAATTGTGGTCAGACTGTGAAAAAAATTGTGAAAAAATAAAAATAGCTATAACGAGTATTCATCATGTGTGGTTACTGGTTACATGTAATTTAAATATTCATACAAACACACATTTTATTTCTGTAGTTCTCAAAATCCATATACTGTATATTGCTGAAATGAAAATCTATAGGTTTACCAAATGATTAATTGATTAACCATTAAGATCTGTTGGATTAAATAATAGACAAAAGTATTAAACTGAACAAAAAGAGATGCAAATCAAAAGTTTGATAGTAAGAGCTTTATGAAAGGCAGTTACTGTGAATGAAACAATAATGTAGATGAAACACTTATTTTGTGTTGTGAAAAGGATACTTTGTGATTGTGTGAATTGTACTAACACAGTTGAAAACATGATGAAATGTTTGAAAAAAGTGCACTTTTGATGATCTGTTGTGATATTAGCACTAAGAGTTTTGAAAATGTACACCTTACTTGTGAAAATAGTACCAAGGCGAATAAAAAAAAACTGTAAAAACTTTTCAAAGTGTTGTGTATTTGTACCTAGGCTATTTGTGTATATGAATAGATAGACAAAGCATTTTTTTTTTTTTTTTTTTTTTTGTCATGTGAGCGTCTGGAATGTGTCTGGCGGGTGTGTGAGCGGTTGGCGTCCTTGCGATGAACGAGGGCTAAATCGCGGCACTTCACACCCTCCGTGTAATCAGATCATGGACACATCGACTGACACAATGAAGAAATGAATGTGCAAAGTAGCCGATGGACATGTTAGCACCTCATTTCGATCAGGTCAGTAGCTTAATGTGTGAGCAGTGAATGTGCCCGAGGCATGCGAGATGGAAATAACAGAGGAGGATTCAGAACAGTCGGTTCATTTTCAGCCACGCACCCGCTGAGCGTCTCTCACGCCCCGCAGAGCCCCGCGCGGGGAACCGGCCTGATGTGGTCCTCTGATCCCGCAGATGAAGGATCAATGGGAGCTTGTGCTCCAAATGAGTCTTAAATGACTTGCGATTGTGCTTTGTGTCTAAACCGGTGAATTTCACCCTTTAATGGGGTGACCGGGGCCAGTTCACACAAATAGCATACACTTTCAAAATGTTAACTAAAATATACATTTAGCCAATGATGGATTTATTAGGGCTATTATTATTTTTTTTTTCCAGAAATGACAAGTCAGCTGTCACGTGTTCTAAAAATGCTACGGGATCATTACCGGTTTCCATTGTGACAACTTGCCCCTCAGTGCTTACTTCACAATATTGAATAGGCCTATTTAATTCAGATGTCAACCTAATATTTTATTCACTTTAAATAGGCCTATTTTTCGGTTTATTTGTCTGTTTTTAAACTGAAATGTATCTATCTATATTGGACATATCCAATGTATGAAATTAAATTAAATGTAAAGCATTATATCGCACTTTACTGTAGGCCTAACTGTTCAACCAAAGTGCTTTAGAGTCATGAGGGGTCTCACCCAATGGTTAACAACAGTTTTACAAATGTAGCCAATTTTTAATAATCCAACAGTTCTTCGAAGATTGCAATCTGGGCTATTGTTTAAAGTTAAGGAAACCCACTGGCACCTGCAGTGTGGAGGCTGCTCTCGGACAGGGGGCGTGTCCTGGTGGGCGTGGCCTGGGCGCTCCTTCCCCCGCAGCCTCATATGAAGAGACCCGTGTGCGCTGAATGGCAGTAGTTCATGTGCATTTTTAAGCAGCTACCGTCCTCTCCCTAGACGCAAAGATTACTGGACATCTGAAGCAGACTCTGAAGCCTGCAGCTTTTTCACAGAGTCAGTTAAGAGTTACTCCAAATCTTGAAGTTTGGAGAAGATCTAGGCTATACAAAATGCCTCGTTCATTTCTTGTCAAGAAGTATTTCTCCAACAAGAAGCCAAACTACAGTGAACTAGAGAGTCAAACTGGTGAGTGTGCCTTTAAAAGCTGTTTGTGTGTTATTGTGTACACAATCTGGGTGAGCTTATCATTAGCCAACACTTTGTCTTGACATCCTGCTCTATTTATGTTCACATGTCTTTTTTTGTCAACACTTTAGCTATTTTCCACTATTTTCAATAGTTATGTTGTTTCAGTTGGGCTATGCAGTTTTTCATTGTATTGTTTTTTCGTTACGCTTTATTTTAAGGTGTCATTGTTACAGTGTAATTATAGATTTAAGTAGTGAGTAATAATAATTAACAACATATACTTACGGGTTAGGTGTATGATTAGGTTGAGGGTTAGTTGCATGTAATTATGCATAATTTACTGTTATTACTATGGTAAGTACATGTAACAAGGACCCAGTAAAATAAAGTGTTACCGTTTTTTTCTCACAAACTGCAGGATGTAGTTTAACTAACTGCTAAAATGCTTCAGCTGTAGTATTTCACAGTTTAATCCCATTAATAAATCTCAAACAGTGAGAGCATGCTAATGCTGTAGATATTCAGTAGATCCTAAACAAAATAAAGTGTGCTTTTGATAAACTGGAGAATATAAAAAAGCACTACCATCCCATCAAACCTAACAAACGGGACAGTTTCATGTACTCCAACCTTTTCTCTTCCCCAGACCAACGCTATGCTGTCGTCCCTCTACATGACTTCCACACCATGGAAGTGAGTTCTGGGGTGCCCATGCTCGTGTGGGCCAGCAGTGTGTTCTCCCCGGCCTTGCCCAGCCCCCCGTCTCCTCCCGGGCCTCTGGACCTGAGCTCACCGTCCAGCAGCTCCAGCTCCAGCAGTGGAGAGGAGGACGACTGCCGGACCTCCGACCCACCCAGCCCGGACCCTGGTCTGTCCCGCCACCAGCTCACGCACTGCACCCCCGGCCCGCAGACCACAGGAGCCGCCAGCACCGCCACCAGAGCCGCCTTTCACTGCAAGCACTGTCCGAAAGAGTACACCAGTCTGGGTGCGCTGAAGATGCACATCCGCTCACACACACTCCCCTGTGTGTGTGGCACGTGTGGCAAGGCCTTCTCCAGACCCTGGCTGCTGCGGGGACACATTCGCACACACACCGGTGAGTTAGTTAGCCCGTAAACTGAAGCTGTGAGTGGACCAACATTTGACCAAAACCTTTAAAGGGATAGTTCACTTTGAAATAAATTTTTGGTATGTTTTAGCTTACCTCAAGGACATCTAAGATGTAGGTATCTTTGTTTTCCACCGTTCTTGTCTATCAGTCATATAATGCAGGTCTATGGTCACCACCTCAAAGAGCATGCACAGAGAAGTCCAAATTAAACATGATTTAATGACTCGTAAATGTAAGTACATATTGATGGCCTAAGACACGAAACGAGCGGGTTGTGTGAGAAAACGAACAGTATTTATATCGTTTTTACCTTGTGTAACCACCACAGCCACTTCCAAGTACTCTGAGGGCGCGGGCGCTTTGTGGCTGTGTTAACGAGGTAAAAACAATATAAATAATATTAGTTTTCTCACACAAACCGCTCATTTCGTGTCTTAGGCCATCAATGTGTACTTACATTTACGAGTCATTAAATCATGTTTAATTTAGACTTCTCTGTGCATGCTCTTTAAGGTGGTGACCATAGACCTCCATTATATGACTGACAGGCAAGAACGGTTTGACCTAAAAATATGAATTTTGAAACTACTGCGGAAACAAAGACATCTACATCTTGGATGCCCTTGAGGTAAGCTAAAACACATCAAAAATGTATTTCAAAGTCAACTATCCCTTTAGTAAACTTGGGAACGTCCCGTTTGTGGTAATCTCCTCAATAAGCCCAAAACTGTGCAGATAGTAAGTGTGCCATAGACCTTGTTTAGGTTACATGACATTGAATTGAACACGGATGAAAACAAGGCTGTGAGGGATTGACGTTCACGCACTGCTATGGAGATCCTAGATCATCTTTTAAAACTGATTCATGTGTTTGTCCACTGAAAGACTTTCATCAGCCGAAGAGTCGGTATGTTGTTCAACAACAGTACAATCCATTAAACGCACTGTGTTCTATATTCACAGAATAAAACATTTTATAAGATAATTGAATAATCGTAAAATCTTTTTCTTATAATTGTGAAAATTATTAGATTATTAAAAATTTTTTCTTATAATTGTGTGATATAAAGTAGCAATTTGAGTTTATATCCGGACTATATATAATTCAGACTTTTTGTGAGATATAAACTTCAATTCAGACTTTATACAAAGCTGCCGTCACTAAATAAAAAAGGTTACTTTTTATCTCACAGTTATGACTTTTATATCTCACAATTAGAATTTTTTTCTCAGAATTACAAGTTATAAAGTCCAATTGCGTGTGAAAAACATCCGAATTGTGAGATAAAAAGTCTCAATTAGCTTTTTTTCTTTTGCGTGTCGGAAACAAGCTTCCATAGTATTCCGTCCCAGTCCCTTATAGCCTCGTTTTCATTCCTGTCAAAAGATAAAAATGCCGCTACGCTGACTAAGATCTTTTACTTCTCTACCAAACGAATTTACGCTTTCCATCTGTCTGACAATAAATATGGTGTAGAAATCCCAAACTATATCAGATAAGAACGTTATAGAAACTTAGGGGTTGGGCTCTTTTATCCATGTCATACGGGGAAAACAATATCGGGGCCACAAATTAATAATTCCTAAATTGTTTCCTTGTTTTAGTTTTATCATGGCCTCAATTTAAACATGAGAATGAATTGGTACAACATGACCATGGTTTATTTCCAATTCATTACTAAAATGAAGTGCATTAATTCTTAATTTGTTGCCACGATATCTGTTTTATTTTTTATTTCACATGTCATGTGCAGGGCTTCTTATACCTGGTTCAGATTACACGATTTTAGCCCGATTTTGGCACGATCCGTTTGACGTAGGGTGTCACGGGGATTCATAAACGACAACGGGTGTCGGGACTAGGGTTGGGTATCGTTTAAATTTGAACGATTCTGATTCCGATTCCTTGTTTCGATTCCGGTTCCTAACGATTCTCGATTCCGATTCTTTTAAGAGGCAGGGTCAAAAAAGTTTAGCTAACCTTGCTAACCAACGGTCTTTCAGAAGGAAATAATCCTTTCTGAAGGAAATACTCCTGTCACAAATACTCCTTCTGTCACAAATTTAGCATTTTGCCGAGATTTCGTTATTTTTAGAAAAGTGAAGCCACACTTTGGACCGCTGACGTAAGCTACTAATGTTCGACTCGCGTGGTTATGCCAACACTTCCGGTAGACGGTTCTTCGTTGGTGTTGTTCAGCGGTTTCTTCTTCCGCTCGGCGGACTGTGAATATCGAAACTAGGAATCGAAATTTTAACTTTTGAACGATTCCGGGAAAAACGAAAAGTTAGTCCCGGTTCCAATCGATACTCGATTCTCGATACCCAACCCTAGTCGGGACGCAAGATTCGATCGTATCATCTCGTATAGTGTGTCATAGTGGGCGACAACCTACGTCGGGTCTGCGATGCTTCACGACATCACGACAAATAGGCTAGCATGTTTGATTTTTTTAACGGTCGTCCACGGCGGTTCCGTCACATGTATGAGGTTGACCAATAGGAGCACAGAAGCCTTTCCATACACAACTTTCAAAAATGGCGAAACGAAAGAGCGACGATGGTGCTAACGTTAAAATTAAAAGTAAAAATATAAAAGAAACAGACAATACAACACTCACCGCTTCATCCGTTGTTTGTTTACGTTCGTTTCCGTCAAAGATGGCATGCGATGACTGGTCAGGAAGCAACGTGTAATCTGACATGTGTCTTGTCCACGACACGACAAGATTTTAGGAGTCCAAATCACGTAATCTGACACAGTGACTATCGCAACAGACAAAAAATTTCACGTAATCTGAACCAGGCATTACACGAGTTAAAAAATGACTTTGTTAGTCAAGCTTTCATCTTACATCATGGTCATTTAAACTAGGAGAACTTTCTAACTTTCAAGAATAAATGAAAGAGATTTGGCTTGGTTATGGAGAAAGCCTTTGGTTAGCATTCCCAATATTGTCAATGGCAGTTTCTCAGCTGGTTCATCTAACCCAGGGGTAGGCAAGTTCGGTCCTAGAGAGCCGCTATCCTGCAGAGTTTGGCTCCAACACTGAAAAAAAGTCTCCTTAATAATCCTGAAGACATTGATTAGCTTGTTCAGGTGTGTTTGATTGGGGTTGGAACTAAATTCTGCAGGACAGCGGCTCTCTAGGACCGAACTTGCCTACCCCTGATCTAACCTCAGTGGCTAACTGCCCATGTTAACTAGTAAAACCTTGACCGCCTGCTAAAGGACCCCCAAATATCATCTAGAGTCAAGAATGTCATAGAAACGTGGAGATGGCTCTTTAGAGCAAGTATTTAGGGCACAACCCAGATAGCAAACTGACATTGAATCAACGTGGAAATACGACATCGAAACAATGTTGATCTGACATTGTTTTGCTCATCGAATTAACGTTGAACCAACGTCAGACGCGTCATTCTTTCAAAACTAACGGAAAATCAACTTGAAATCAACGCGTTGTTTCAACGTTATGAAAGCAAACCAATTTTCGATTTCATTTAGCTTTGAAGAATGCCGCGTCTGACGTTGGTTCAACGTTAATTCGATGAGCAAATCAACGTTGTTTCAATGTCATGAGAGACGTCGTTTCCACGTTGATTCAATGTCAGTTTGCTGTCTGGGAAGTTTTGTTGGTTCACCTTACAGAATCTACTCTGAATTGCATTTTAAGGTGCATAAAACATCTTTAACACAATGACATATAATGTGTGTACTAAAAGTTCTTCATCTCTGTTTTAAGGCGAGCGCCCCTTCTCGTGCCCCCACTGTAACCGCGCCTTTGCGGACCGCTCGAACCTGCGGGCTCACCTGCAGACCCACTCCGAAGTGAAGAAGTACCAGTGCGGGACGTGCTCCCGAACCTTCAGCCGAATGTCCCTCCTGCACAAACACACTCTCTCCGGCTGCTGCCCGTCTGCATAGAGGAGGAGACGGCTGAGTCCCATCTCTCGGCGCTGGGACGGGACGGGTTTAAGCCAGAAGTCAATGTCTGGACTGGTATTTATTGTCGTAGATCCATGAATGTGGTGTCAAATCGACCCGGTCATTTAGCAGAGGTGTGCTATGACTTTTCTAAGCGATCGGTTGTACGATGTTCATCTGGCGGGCGATAAATCGGACAGAAAAAGTCCCATAGACTTAACATTGGCACCAAATTTGTGAGATCATATCTTTTGACCAGAAGGTCATAGAGACATGAGGTTGGGCTCTTTTTACTCGGCCTATCGTGCAATTAGTGACCAGGACTCATTTTTTGAAGCACACGGTGCCTTTTCTTATATCCCACAAGCTAAAAGAAGAGTTTCACACCTGATCCGCACCAGAACAACTGCTCCGAGATGGCATGAACGAGATGCACACGGACTCTGGGACGGTTAAAAAGCAGTAGTGTCCGATTCGGTGAGTGAGCACATTAGTTACCACAGTTGAAAACCAAAAGAGCACCTGTTCATCTTATAATTTGGTGTAACTTCTCTGTGCGAGAATACTGTCCCGATAAAGGCTTGATTCCTGCTCCAGCTGCATTATAACATTCGTCGAGTGTTCGTCGCATGTGCCTTGACAATGTAAACGTCTAGACGGCACTTGGGGATCTGCGTGTCTCGACCATAGACTGTAAGGTCTCGACAGTTTAAAATAAAGCCACAACAAGCTCATGGAGCAAACTTGTCAATCATCTTGATGGATGACCCAGAGGAAACACTGGCCAATAAGAGGACAGTTACTCGCTTTGCAAGGTTGCCTGGTGAAAGCGAGCCGTACCAAGAAGAAAATGCCACATTGTAACAAATGAAGTACCTGTTTCGGAGCAAAACGAACGCTCAATCGGTGTGAAAACACCCCTAGTCTTGCACGCATTCACACAGTGAGGGTCTGTTACACATAGACTGCAGATTTTTGTCGTGGGAAAAGGGCCCATGAACTGGCTCTCGGTGGATTCCCCAAGATGCACCTCGGTGCCGGCTGGTCCGGGACTGTGAGGGGGGCAGCTGCTATTAAACCTGTGTGGTGAGAGGTCATCTCTCACCAAGATCTCCACAGACTTGCCTGGATGTATTGAGACAGCTGTTGGGCTGTCGACAAATGCATTGGCTCGCCGTTCTCCGTTTGAAAGCACCAAAGACCTGCTTTAATAGGACGTTCAATCAGGCTATGGAATTTGCCTTTGTAATTCGAGCTTGTATGGCGTCATTCGCCAGCTTCTGAACTGGCAGTCTGACTTCTGAATGATTTTATGTTCTTAAAGATTTGAACAGGGTGTCAAAAACACAAGAAGAGGGTCATTTGGTTTTAGATGTCGTTTATGAACAAAGTTTACTCCAAGTCCTCTGAACCGAAGGGATTTAGCGGTCTCTCATTTGAGAGAGGTCTTCCATGAAGTGTGTTTCACCTGGTCCTCTTCAAACATGTCTTTTCCAAAGCCACAATGATATATGAAGCTGCCTTTCTACTTTGGACGTATAACAGAAACCAAATGCTATGCAATCTTTTTTGAGCAAAGATGTTTTAGTGTATTTCCACTTGCTATTTTTTCCAATAAAGTAATTTATGTTCTTTTTACAGAAAAGTGTCTAATTTGTGTTTTTATGAAGGCCGGACGTGTTAAATCCATAAATGAATTCATACTCTGTATTAGAGCCAAACCGATATTATCGGCCGATATTAGACATTTTCCAAACTATCGGTATCGGCAGTTATAATGGCCGATAAATGAATATTTCAAAAATAAAATAAAAACAGACGAAACACGCTTCAATCATCTCTCCTTGGCCTGTTAAATTGAAAATGTATGTTTTACAATTCGCAGTATGACGTTATTGCTAAATTATGGCTCATCATAGACTAGCTAACCTGAAATTGTAATTATAAGGTAGCTTATAAGGCAATGTAGAGACTAATTATTATTTTATTTAGCAGAACTTTAATATATTTTGATGTTCCTCTGTTCTGTTGTGACAATAAAAGAAACAAGTTTCTTTTAAAAATGCTTTATCATATTATTTCAGTTAAAACTCATAAATAACTACAAATAACTATGTTAGGGAAATCTGTTAATGTTTTGTTGCGCGTTTCTGAAAAAAATAAAAAAATAAAAAAATATCGGCCGATATATCGGATTTTAAAACCAAAAAATATTTGTATCGGTATCGGCCTTCAAAATCCTTTATCGGTCGGGCTCTACTCTGTATACATTCTCATACCATTCCATAAGCAGCATAACTTTATTATTTCCATGGAATACAAAAAGACATTTTTAGCAGAGTTACAACAACGACTATGAAAGTGCACATATGAAGTCCAACAAAAGATGTTTTAATATCGGAAAAAATAATTATTCCTTGAATGCATTATTTATATCCACAGATCTCTGAATAGATATGGTGCAATAAATATTTAGCGTCTGCGTCTAGACGCAGTCAAGATATTTTGAGTGATGGTCAGAACACCTGCACACACTTTCTGCTTAGCCGGACGCTAATACAACACCAACCCAGTTTAGCTGACACATGGCCAACAAATGTTCACGTCCGAGACGCACTGCAGGTGGAAAAAGACCAAAAGGGAGGCAGAAGACTTAGAGGAGCACCAGGAAGAGGAATGGGTCCGTCTGCACCATTAAGACCCGTGGATCCAGCTCTTCGCTCCAGAACCTCAATCTGTCAAATGCATATGCCTCCCTGAGGGGAAATTTAATAAATGTGGGAAATTCCAACAATCTGTGCTTCGAATGTGGCCAGAGCTTTGAGGTTTTCAGTTTTGTAGGCTGCCTCCGCAACTCAGCCTTTCCCTGAGCAATCTGAATCCACAAAGCCCTTGTGACCTGCGTTGACGCCAACCAGTCTTGCTGGAGTAACGATGCACTTCCTTTGCTGATTTGGAGGCTCAAAGCTGTGGGATTTTGGTGGGCTAGTTGTAGGGGGGAGGGCACGCTTAAAGAGGTATTCCAGGCTGAAAGCAACTCAAACTCTGTCTGTGGCATGCTTTATCTCCAACATCTGCGACCACTAAAAACGGCGAGCTCTTTGAGTGCCAATACACTGGGTCCATGAATTAAGAATTTTTAAGAACATTTAAAGGGATAGTTCACTTAATTATTCATTTTTGGTATGTTTTAGCTTACCTCAGGGGCATCCAAGATGTAGGTGTCTTTGTTTCCGCAGTAGTACTGTTCGTTTCCTCACACAAACCGCTATTTTTGTGTCTTTTAGGCCCGTACACACCCGGGACGAATATCAGCGCGCGTTATTCATCAGCGTTTTTCAACGTGTTTTTTTGTGTTCACACCCAAGCGATTTTTGCTGACGATGAGCCGAGTGAACATGCAAATTCATTCCCTGACATTAGATGGCGCCAATTTGCTCTGCAATACCACTCCATAACAGTTTTCCTTTATCAAGATGTTTTTAGTCGATAGTTCTTTATGCTCTAGCACCAACGAGACCAGCAGCTTTACATTCATCTTGCCTCGCATCTTCCTCGTCTTATTTCTTCCTGGCTGTGTAGACGGCGACGCTACTGGCGTATATCTTCTTCACCGTTGCAAATGTGTTCGGCAGACCGACGGCGAGCTCTTCGGCAGACCGTTTTGTTTTACTGTAACTTCAGAAGCACCAAACGTGGAAACATGACATTGAAAAACGTTGATCTGGCATTGTTTTGCTCATCGAATTAACGTTGAACCAACGTCAGACGCGTCATTCTTCAAAACTAACGGAAAATCAACTTGAAATCAACGTTGTTTCAATGTTAGGAAAGCAAACCAATTGCAAACCAATTACCAATTTTCATTTAGCTTTGAAGAATGCCGCGTCTGACGTTGGTTCAACGTTAATTCGATGAGCAAAACAATGCCAGATCAACGTTGTTTCGATGTCATGAGAGATGTTGTTTCCACGTTGATTCAATGTCAGTTTGCTGTCTGGGATTGGTCGGATATTTTTTGACGCAGCGTGTCAAACTAAAAAAAAACGAACCCGAGGCGTTTTTTTTTAAATATGACGTTTTTACGACGTGGCGTTTTCCGCGTCGGCGTGCACACTCACATTGGCGCCCTTTGTTTAGTCACGAGGCGTTAAACGTCTGCAAATAACACGCGCGGAATTCATCCCAATGTGAACAGGCCTTTATCAAAGTGTACTTACATTTACGAGTCATTAAACCATGTTTAATTTTGACTTTAATAAACTTTAATTCTCTGTGCACGCTCTTTGAGGTGGTGACAATAGACCTGCATTATATGACTGACAGACAAGAACAGTTTGACCTAAAAATATTAAACTTTAAACTACTGTGGAAACAAAGATGCCCTTGAGGTAAGCTAAAACATACCAAAAATTAATTTCAAAGTGAACTATCCCTTTAAGCTTTTGTGAACACGAAAGGAATTTGGTGTTAATTATCTTTAAAAATGTCTATAATACGTTTCGTTTAGCATTCCTATTAATGTCAATGGCAGTTTCTTGCATCAGCGGTGGCTAACTGCCCATGCTAACTAGTAAATCCTAGTAAAACCGTCTACATACATGCGGAAAACGTCAAAAGGAATAATAAGTTATGTCCGACTTCAAAAGGACAATTTAGACAACTTTACAGACTGAAACAGCATTTATTTACTGAATAATTGAATTGCCAATTTTGGATTTAAACTCAAAAACAAAACAAAAACATTGCTTCCACTGTAAACACTTTTCGGAAAAGCAGTGTTGTTATTGCTAACCTAAACTATAAAAATGTGGTGGTTGAAATTGAAGATGAAATAAAGTATAACTCTTGCTCATTGGCAAAAATGTGTGTGTTTGTGTGTGCGTGGCCCGATATGGTCAGATATGAGTGGGTGTTCAGTAGACGAAAGTCATTTGGGCTTTGGGGTTTGATGTGGTTGGCCTGAACTGCAGACATAGAGTCAGACACAGTAGACGTGAAGGATTGAAGCCGTGGAGTCATGTTCACAGAGAGATGACAACTGTGTGTGGGTAGCTGGATGGATGGGTGACAGAGGGTGATGTCATTGTCTTTCACCGCTTGAAGCAGCACAAATCTGCAAGAATTCCCCATAGACCCAAACAATCGTCCCCCGTACCTGTGAGGGGGTGAGATAA